CACAGGAGTGCCTCTGGAATTGCTGAGAAAAAGATGGCACCACCTTTCTCATCTTGTCTGCCTCTTTCTTGATTTCTCCTTCATCTCCATCAAAGCCTATTGAATCATTTAGTTGAAGAGTGCACGCGTTACTTAGAGAAGGCCCCTGCTTCCCGTGATTCCAGCGTCCACTGCCTCTGAATTGATGTTCTATTTTTTCTTAAGCCCACTGGGCTTGTCTTCTCATTCTGGCTCTTTAAAAAAAAAAAAAAGGCTCTAAACTGAGAAACTAGTGCAAATTCTGATGTCAGTGGCTAATCTATGACTGAATGGGTTTCTCTTGCTAGAAAAATATACGTGCTTTTTTTTTTCTGCCATCAAGGCACTTAGTGCCTTTAAACCAAGGGAACAGAGTCTTCGCAATGTCAGCAGATAGCCTTTGTGGGGGATGCTGATCCACCTTCTTGCCTTCCGTTGGGTGATTCTACATAAAAGCAAACAAAGAGGCTGCTTGTGATTTTGGTGGGAGTGGCCTTTCTCCTGAGCAACCCACAGGAACTTCGTCAAATGTCACAGGCTCATGAAGTGCTGTTGGAGGAAAGGGGCCCCCGCTGAAACTCGGGGTTGCCTGCCACGCTATGGGACTCATTGAGCACCTTGTTTCCCATTGCATTGTACGCATCTGTCTGAAAGCATGTGAGCTTTCTCAGTGTTCCCTCCATGAGGCCATGTTTGCAAATAGAAAGTTCTTCGAAGCCCTCCTCAGAGGTGACTTGTGAAGCAGCAAGGGTGCCATTCTGGAGGACTGGGACTTCAGGGATAATGAGGAAGTGCAACCTGATGGTCTGCACTTGTGGAGTGACCTCCTGCTTTGTTAAGCCCAACACCACCGCCACCTGTTTTGTGGAGACATGAGGCCCAGAGCAGGGAAATTTAGGCAAGGGTTAGCTAGGAATTCCTGAGCAGCCCTTCTCAGGAAAGTGGTAGCTTGTGGGAGGCAGAGGGGTGGTCCCATTACAGCTTCCACAGTGCCAGGCCTGATAACAACCTGTTAATATTTTATCAGCGATCACATCGCAGCGTGGAGGAGCCACCACTTAGGGCAAAAGAGAGAGATAACCTGCTGGACTTCCTGTTTGAGGTTTTCTCTCTCAGGGAGATAACAGGAGTTCTCATCAAAGTCCGCAGCCGCTGGGGCAGGGAGACCAGGCTGGGCAAAGGCCAGGCTTCAGCCAGCGGAGCAGCACATGCGCTTCCCTGCCTGGGGCCTCTGTGTCCCAGAGTGGGCAGCGACAAGCACAGAAGAATCTCCTGTCCGTGGACCCAGGGCTGAGTGGGAGGGAACAGTTGACTCTGCCCAGGCCCCATCTGCCCGCCTTTAGCACCGTGCCCTTCTCCGTCCTCTCTCCCTTCTCCCACAGCTGTTTCTCCTCTGGTCCGGGGCCAAAAGGCCTCAGGTTACTCGGATGGGCACTGCCTCCACTGCCCCCACCAGTTTCCAGGAAGCTACCCAAGAGAAGCAGATGAGGGAAAAGGGTCTGGGCCCTAGGGGCACTCTTTCCACTGGAGCCACTCAGGAGGCCTGTGAGGCAAACTCAGAGGGGTTCTGGATGAGCTGCGCGATATAACCGTGTTTCCTCCTCAGCGCTGCTGTCCACCGTTTTGCTCTGTCTCCCGTGGTCCCTTAGCCACAGGAGGCAGTTTCTTTGGATCATCCTCCCCGCCCCCCCCCCCACCAAAGCTCAAGGGGTGCCAGACCCTCCCTTCATATGGATTGGGATTTGAGGGGACGTACAAGCCTTTCTGAAGTAGCCCCTGACACCCCTACCTTCTGGAACTTCCCTCCCATCTCTCATAGGACACACCGCATCACGCGTTGCACCACGCTTCGGTGTGCATGTCTTATCTGGCCCTGCATCAGCTGTCAACTCCTGCAAGGCACAGACTTTACCTTGCCATTCACCCTCATTACACTTGTTGCCCTCGAAGCCTCTTCCCACATGGAGTGAGGGTGCAGGCCACGTGGGCTGCCTGGCTGCGGAGCCCACTGAATGGCTGTTGGATGGGCTGGATGAAGGTTTCTCAAGAAGCTGGAGCTCGCCTTTCCCCCAAGAAGCCAGTTTCAGCCTCCCCCTCCCCTATTAATGATCACATAGCAGTAGGTCACTAGGGCCCTGACGGGGAGAAAACATGAGTCACACTATTATCAGAGGAATGAGGGAGGGCAGAAACATCTCTCCTCGTGCAAGGGTCAGAGCCATCAGTTCGGGACATAAACACAATGGCCTTCGCTATCCCCTTGGTTGTGGCTAATCTAAATTACTTTATGATGGAAGGCAATGGGGTGAGCTGAAAGCTGTTCAACTTGGACTCAGACACGGGGATATTTCGAGGAAATTATTTAGAGCAAAGCTTTCCTTGCACACCCAGCCAAAGGGAACAGTTGCTCCTTATCGGCTCTGCCCCGGTTTTTCTAGTTAAGGATGAAAATCTAACTTCCTCTGTAGACTCTTCCCAGATTACAGGGAAGGAGGACGTCCCCGGGAAGCCTCATCCTAAGATGAACAGAAGCCCTGGGCCCTATTTCCCTCGAAGGCCCTTCTAGCCCAAGGGCAGACAGGGAGAGGAGGGCTGTGGCAGTCCGAAGAGGAGAAGACACTCTTACACCTTCCCAGGCAGAATCACAGACCCACATTGCTGGGGGAAGAATTTCTAAGCTTAGAGTCAGACTCTGACACTGTGACTTTAGGGAGGCCTCCATTTTGTCTCTTGTAAAAAGACCTGCTTCGTTTTGGGTATTTGGAGAACGCAAGGCAGTTGTGGATCTGAAAGTGCTTTAGTGGCCCTGTGGTGGGTCCTCAGAGCCCAGATCAGACAGCTGCCTCCTCAGCACAACAGGTGTCAGCAAAGCAACCCCTTCTTCCGGCCTCTACTGCCCCCCACCTGAGTCAAGCACTCTGGAGTTCCTGGTGCCAGGCCAGAGACGCGACCCCTTGTACAACTTCTGTTCAGGGAGCCTCTTCTCTCCACACCTTATTCCTGCCCACCTCCATTCCCTCTAAATGGGCTCGGGTGGCGGGGTCCTCGCCTCTGAACCAGAGAAGGCCTACGTGGGAAGTGCAAGGCAGGGCCTGTTGTAACAGGTTCCTGTGCTCTGCGACCCACTCTTTCCAGGGGCTGTGTAAGTTGAATCTTGCTGGGGCGGGGGTAGGGAAGCAGGCGGGAGCTGTTATCATCAGTGTTGCCACAGCTAACATCTTTATGAACTGGGCTTTGTTCATTCCCCCAGGAGGTTCGAACAATGGCTGGCCGAATCTTTGGCCTCCCAAACTCTCACACCTCCAGAGTTTGGGAAATTAGTACGGAGGTATTACGTCTCTTTCAAATGTGAATTGGTCCTGCTCCCCCAGATCATCTTCACGGGAGATCTCCAGGAGAACTGTGTGTGTCCCCAACGTGTCTTTGTTGGCCATAAATTGCTCTCCTCCGGCAGCTTGGGGGGGACCCCTGGCAGGCTCTCCCAATGAGCGGACCAGCAGAGTCCTATTTGGGGAGTCTAGAGTCTGGGGCACCAACACCAGCAATGTAGCTCTGGGAAAAACAATCTCTTTATTCACATGGGCCTTGGTTTCCCCATCTGCTGAATGGAGATTGTCAGATTGACTTTTCCTTCCTCACAGTGCTGGTTCAGAGAGCGAAAGGAATAAACATACAGCCATTCAGTAAATAACTTCGATGAAAGAATTGTGAAGAGGGAGGAGCCCTGGGCACAATGAAAGGGTGAAGTTTCCCTGGGAATGTGGTGGGGGGTGTCTTGTTTTCATAATGTCTCCCATAAAGTCTAGAATTTTTTTTATCCACCGGGCAGGAAGAAAAGCCAGTTTCCATTCTACCCTCCCCCCGGCCCAATTCTCTCTCACACCTGCCATGCCTGCCAAGGCCCCTTTTGAATGAATAAAACAGTAACAAAATTACTCAATCAACAAGTGTTTATTGATCGCCTACTGTGTGCCCAGCACTCTTTTTTTTTTTTAAGATTTTATTTATTTATTTGACAGAGAGATTACAAGTAGACAGAGAGGCAGGCGGAGAGAAAGGAGGGAGCAGGCTCCCTGCTGAGCAGAGAGCCTGACGCGGGACTCGATCCCAGGGCCCTGAGATCATGACCCCAGCCGAAGGCAGCGGCTTAACCCACTGAGCCACCCAGGCGCCCTTGCCCAGCACTCTTACAGATAGTCTGGGGGGATACAGAGAGGTCTTGGGTATGGCCCCTACCCTCCAAGAGTTTATAACGTATTTGGGAAATCAGATAGGCACACACGAAAAGATAGCTATCTATCAAAAACTGTGAATTACAGGCATTAAAGAAGCAATAATTATATGCTGAGGGGGTGGAGGAGGGAGGGCAGGAGAGGGACGGAGTGGTCAGAGGAGACTCAGTGTAGGAGTTGGTGCTGAACAAGTTCTCCAGACAACAGGAGGACTCAGCTAAGGGGACAGGGCCTTCCAGCTTGGGAGAAGAGCTTAATCATAAGCAAGAAGGTGGAGAGGCGAGAGGCATGTTAGAGACGAGTGAGCCCCTTCTGCTGGTACTGAGGTTTGGGAAGGTGGACTGGAGTTTGTCTGAAGCCGGGTGTACTTGTAGGGCGGTGTGTGAGGGAAAAGGCCTTTGGTCTATCTGTGACTCCCACCCCCACCCCAGGGGAAATGGAGCATTTCCACACCTTGAAGGTGGAAGTGTCTGCCTGGGAGACGTTCTCCTCAATCCCTCCCCAACTGAAATCCCAGGCAGTGGCTCATCTTTCGCTCAGATCGGGGCCACAGCTCCTTGGGCATTGTCGTTCCATGCCAAAGCCCTCAGATGCCTTCTGGCAACTCTGAGATGTCTGGCGATGGATGGCGGGCGCTTCTGAAGGGTGACGGAGGTGGGGGACCTGGGGGGCTGTTGTCTTTCAGAGGCTCTCTAGCGCTCTGTGGGGAGACCCCCCCACAGAAGATCACATGACTTCGGGCTGATTTTCTATTAGGCTTGCAGACTCCCTGGGGAAGCCGCCTCTCTCTGGCTTGATAGAAACTCCCACTGGAGCCACCTCACATGCCCTCCCCCCAGCTTCTGAGAGACCAAAGTTCTTCTTCTTTCTGGGGCAGCATCAAGGAGCGGTCTCTTCTTTGGAACCCCAAGCCTCTCACGCTGTCATCCCCCAGCCAAGAGCCATCTCGAGAAAGGACATGTTCCCCCTCCTAAGGAAACCACCATGCAGGACTCAGGAGACGCGTAGCCTTGTTTCTTAGCAGGAGGCCAGGTCAGAGGGAGGCAGGAGCTTCAGTGAAAGCTGGGGCTGCAGCTTGGAGGCAGTTCCCCAGTGGAATCAGCGTCCGCTGCTGCCTTGAGCTTTCCACCATATCTTCTTTCTTTGTGATTTCCCCTAGTGGGAGGGGGTCTAGATCCCCAGCCCACAGTGGGAGGGAATTCTGGGAAATGCCCTGGGCAGTGAGTCAGATGTGTTTTGGATCCTCGACTGCCTTCCCTCCCTCTCATCCTGTACCCAGTTGCTCTCTGCTCCCTCGGTACCACAGGGTGGTTTTATTTCAGTCCACGCACAAACCAGTCTGAACACTGTGGAGTCATAACAACAATGGCATGGAGGCGCTGGGCTCCATTACTGGCCAAACAGTTTCTTCGGAGAGAAGTTTGGGAAGTTGGTGAGAGCCGTGCCCATAAAAACCACCAGTCCTCCTCCCCGCCACCCCGCAGCAATGAGCTCAGAGCCAACCTGAGCCAGAGGGAGGGTCTTTGATCACAGAAACGGTTAGTCAGTGGGATGTAATTAATGAGTGGGTTTGGGGGTGGATTCGCAAGTCACCTGAAAGGCAGAGGGGAGACTCTGTGGTATGGCCTAGGCTAGGGGTGGAGTTTGGAGTTGAGGGTTGGGGACTCTGGCCGGGGTGGGGGAGGGGGGAGGTGGCAGGGCCGTGGGCAAGTTGAAGGGAACAGAAAGGCTGGCTTGCAAGCATCTTGACAATCCAGGCTGCAAGCTGTCACACCAGTTCCCGTTTCTGCCTTCGCTTGATCCAGCGGCCAAAGTCAGTCTATCCTCAGCACCTTCTGACATGACCCAGGGCCAGTGTCCCTCACCTGTGGCCCGGGGGGGGGGGGGGGGGCACTGTCCGCTGGTTTTCACAGACCCAGCCACCCGCCCCCAGCTCTGGCCCCTGGTTCTTCACACATACCCTGTCAGGCTGTAGGAGTTAAACTCACTCTTGACTTTGGGCGGTTGGCTGGCCCTTGGGGAGCTCCTAGTTGCGAGGGGCTGGGCCTGGTAGGAATCATAGTAGTTGGAGCGATTTCCCTGGAATGGGCAGGAAAAGCAGAGGATGATTCCAGCTACCAGGGAGAACAGGGAGGAAATAATGCCCAGGTAAAGAGCCTCTCCGATCTCAAATTTCATGCTGTCTGGTACCAGTGGGGAGTAGAAGTCCCGCAGGATCCCATGAAGATTCCAGGCAACAGGAATGAAGCCCAGGAGGCCTCCGAGGATGAAGAAGACTCCGCCCACCACAGCCAACCTGTCCTTGGCTCGGGAGTCCTGGCAGAAGACTGTGCATCTCATGCCCACCACGGAGACTATGCAGGCCAAAGAAGAAAGCGCACTGGATGTCACCATCATGGCCTGGGCAGCCTGGATGTCAGCAGGCAGGCCTAGGAGGGTGCTGTAGATGTCGCACTGTGTGATGCCTGTGCTGTGCGTGGCACACTCCATCCAGAGGCCCTTGGAGAATCCGACGGCTGTCACGATGCTCGTACCGACGTAGGAGCTTGTTCGCCAGCTGGGAAGTAGCATGGCCACCAGGGTGCCCAACAACCCCAGGAGGCCCAGGACGTAGCCTACGAGTTGGAGGCCAAGGGAAGCCATTGCGGACCTCTTGGCAGTGGGGGCGTCGTCGGGGCCTGCTCCCTTGCCTTCAGGCTGCAGTGCTTGCTCCTTGGATCCTGGCCTCTAATCCCTCATTTCAGAGTGCCTCTCCCAAGCTGATTTCTCTCCTCCTTACAAGTGTCTGTGGGTGGCCACAAGCAGGCTCAAGAAGGCATCTAGAAGACCTAAAAAAAATCCATAAACCAGATTAAATATTGACCAGAAGCTTATGAGAAACCAGAAAATGCTGGGTGCCTTTTGACCTTTGTTATCTTTAGAAATAACACATGAGAAAGAAAAAAAGAACTTTGAAAGTGGAGCCAAAATGTCATCGCCTCCTGCGTAGGCACATGCCTTGGGTTGGGTTGGCAGCCAGACAAAGCCAGGGGCCAGACGGGTGGCTCCTTTCCGAGAAGGTAGTGGTGAGAGTGGTGGTTATGCCGGCCGCAGTAGCTCCGGGTCAGGCTCTCACCTGGCACGCTTCTGTCTCCGGAGCCTGTTGTTGAATGCACTGCCCGGCAACACTGCCACGGGGCCCTCAGCTGCACACCAAGGCCAAACTCCAGGAGCCTGGAACAGGAGAAACAGGTCCTAGGATACAGCTTTGGACTCCGGCTTGCTGGAGGCCTCGCAAATCTCCAGGGGCCTAGAGAGCAGGGGTCTGGCCCTAGGTCATCCTCCCCACATGTGGGAATCTACACCAGGGCCGACTGGGGTTGGCGAAGAAGACTTCTGTCCACACGCTGAGAGTTCAGATCCGCCCAGCCCTGCCCCAAGTCCCTCCACCAGGCACGACTAAGGACACTTCCTGTCTGTTTTCTTAATAGATTCCCTACCAGCCCCAGCCTCGGAGATAATGGGGAAGGATTTTTGGAGCGAAAGTTCTGCCAAGGCCTGGGGGTGGGGGGAGCCATGACATTCCCTAGGCTATCTCCCAGCAGATGACCTAGGATGGACAGAGGAAAGGGAAGCTCTCCTACTGTAGAAGGCTTTGTAACAGGAAGGTATCTGAGCCTATCCTTGAGAAACTCAGAGGTGTCTAGGATGTTGCAGTGTTCAAGCCTGGTTGGCTCAGTCGGTTAAGAATCCGACTCTGGGTTTTGGCTCAAGTCGTGATCTCGGGGTGGTAAGACTGAGCCGGGTGTCGGGCTCTGCACACAGAGGGGAGTCTGCTTGAGATTCTCTCTCTCCCTCTCCTTCTGCCTCTCCCCCTACTCTCTCTCTCTCTCTGTCTCCCTCTCAAATAAATAAATAAATCAATAAATCTTTAAAACTAAATAAGTGAATGAATGAATGAATGAATGAATAAAATGTCCACCTGGAAATGCCACAGGCACCTCAAATTTGACATGTTCAAAAGAGACCTCATCATCTCTCCTATCACACCTTTCCCCAAACAGTTCTTCCCTGGGCCCCCTGAGATCGCTGAACTGTACCTCTATCCATCCCCTTATGCCAGACCAAAATCCTGAGAGTGATTCTTGGCATTATTTTCATGCTGACTCCTCACTTTCCATGGTCAATGTCTCACCAACTCTATCTCTTGCATATACCTCAAATTCACGGCACCCTTCTCCCCATCCCTACCGCTACTTGCCAGGGTCAGTCCTCCTTCCCCCAGACTGTAGCAATGACTTCCTCACTGGTCTTATTTCTGGTCTTGTCTCCCACGGTTCATTCTCCATGTCGTTGCCAAGGTGATCTTTCAACACATTAATCTGATCTAGTATCTACATAAAACATTCCAGTGGCTCCCCATTGGCTAAAGGATAAAGTCCAAACTTGTTTGTACTCTATGACCTCTCAAGCTTCATCTCTTGCCATTGTCCTCCTCATATTCTTGCTGAGCTAAATTACTCTTGGTTCCTCAATCATGCCATATTGTCTTTTGCTTCCAAACCTGAGGGCAAGCTGTTCCTTCTATGCAAGATGCCTGGCATTCTTTTCTCTCTGTTTAGTGCTTGCTCACCACTTAGTGTTCCACTCTTATGTCTCTTCCTCGAGCTTGGATCAAGTTCACCTCCTCTGTGTTCTTGTAGCATTTTCTGTGTTTCTTTACCCCCATCATGGTAGTATAGTAATAATAACAACAGTAATAGTAATAATAATAATAGCAACACTTATATAGTGTTTCTGATGTGACCGATGTATAAATTATAATCCTTCTATATGTGTTAACTCACTTAATCATCACAGCAATGGTTTGTGGTAGGTGCTAATCATCCCTATGGTACAGATGAGGAAACTGAGCTATGAAGAGGAGTTACTGCCCTGTACTGCAATTTCCTGTTTAAACTCTTATTCCTCCCCGGCTTGTCTGTGAGCTACATAAGGGCAAGGACTGTATTGTATTCATCTCTGGATCTCAAGTGCCTTGCAGAGTATGACACCCAGAGCAGGTGTTTAAAAATATCTTCTTGGGACACCTGGGTGGCTCAGTTGGTTGAGCGTCTGTCTTCGGCTCAGGTCACGACCCCAGGCTCCTGGGATTGAGTCCCGCATCAGGCTCTCTCCTCAGTAGGGACCCCGCTTCTCCCTCTCTCTTTCTGTGTTTGCTGATGCTCTCTCTCTCTTTCCCTCTCTCAAATAAATAAATAAATAAATAAATCTTTAAGAAAATATCTTCTTAATGAGTGAATAAAAGTGTTAAAGGGGTTTGAGGGACTATAAGATGTGGGCTTTCTAAAGGAGCCAATGACTTCAGTGTAAGGGATGAGAGCTGCCTGCTCTTGGGAAAGGAAGTTGGGAGAGGGAATCAGAGGATGGAGGGATATGGAGAGAGACAGACAGACAGAGAGAAGAGAGACAGAAAGGGAGAGAGACACAGAGAGAAAACAGAGACAGAGAGACAGAGAGACAAACACAGAGAAAGAGAGCCAGAGAGAGAGAGAGAGTGAAAGAAACAGGATTTCCTATTTTCTGTATATATGCCTTTGCTGAATAGCTTGTCTCTTCCAATTCTAAACCACTTGAGGGAAGAAATTCATTAAGCTTGTTAATTACTCAATATTGTAAACCTCAATTACACGTCCTGGATCTCAGCAGCATCAGGCAGAGCTGCCAGTCAACAATATTCCTCAGTGATGAGGTTGACAAGGCCAATGTGGATGCCAAGCAGCATGGAACAGGGGCCAATACACACCTGATGGGAGGGGGAGGGAAATCTAGTTTGAATCCCGGCTCTGGTGCTCACCAGGTGTGACACTGCACCGCTCCTTTCCACGCATTGGTTTTCTTACCATTAAGCTGGCAAGATTCTACCCTATCCTGATCGTGACCTTGCATCTCAATGGCACCTTCTGCTTCTCCCTGGCGAGCATCTCCTGGTGACTGCTTCAAACACCACTTTTTTTTTTTTGAGCCCCTTTCCCGACCTTCTCCCTGTGCAACTACTTCTCTCTCCTCATCATTTCCTTACAATTAAGATTCCTATACAAACTGTTTCATGTTGATGTCTCTACTTCTTTCCCATCCCACCCACTGCTCAATCCTCTTCAGTCTGGCTCCAGCCATTAGACCTCCCCTGAAACTAAGGTTGTCCACAGTTTTTTTGTCCCCCGATCCAATGGTCATATTGCTGTCATCTCACTTTGTCCCTCTCTTTCCTAAAACTGTCTTCTCCCTTGTTTTCTGTGATTCTAAGTCTTTTTTTTTAAGATTTTATTTACTTGACACATGCAGAGGGAGAGAATGAAAGAGTGCAAGCAGGGGGAGCAGCAGAGGGAGAGGGAGAAGCAGTCTCTCCACAGAGCAGGGAGTCCAGTACGGGAACTTGACCCCAAGGACCCTAGGATCCTGACCTGAGCTGCAGGCAGACACTTAAATGAGTCCCTTGGGAGTCCCCTTCTAAGTCTTCTTTATAAGTTTTTCTTCTTGTGCCCTTTGTACAATACTGACTGTTCCCTGTAGGGTTTCATTTGGACTTTCGGACTTCTCATTCTTCACATTCTCTAAGGGTGGTCTCATCAATCTGTCTATATGCCAATGCCCCCTGAATCCATACTTCCAGCACAGATCTCTCTCATGAACTCAAGATTTGTATAATCAACTGCATTTGGAATGACCCCATCTGAATTTTTTCATGGTACCTCAAACTCAACATTTGAAAAGCTGAAATCATCTGCTCTTTCTCTACCTTCGAGTGATTTCTCACATAGTGTTCCCCATCTCACTAGGACCATCCCTCATCCAGCAACTCAAGCCAGGCATCCTTGATTCCTCCCCTCTTCTTGACATGTGATCAATTATAAAGTCTTATCAAATATACCTTCAAAATGTGTTCTGAATGCATCCACTTCTCTCATGGGCATCTCAAATTGGTCTCTCTAGTTCTACATCTGCAATCAATTACCCATGTGGTAGCCAACGATCTTTCTAAATTGGAAATCTAATCTTAAGTGCCACCCCACCCCCTTGCCATGCTTTAAAAACTTCAGGGCCTCTTAATTGCTTTCAAGATGAAGTTCAAACTCTCTAGCACAGGAAATCAGGAATGCCCCCCTTTGTCTGGCTTCTGATTTCCTTTTCAGCCTCATTTCCCACCAATAGTCTCCAATCTCAAGCTTTATACTCTCTCTCTCTCTCTCTCTCTCACACACACACACACACACACACACACACACACAATCCAGCCATGACTGTACAGGTGTATTTCCCTGAATTTGCCTTTCTCACTGTCTCTAAGGCCTTGAGTATGATATTCTACTACCCAACATTTGCTTGGCTAATTGCTGGTCGTCCTTCAGGACTCATCCTCCCCTTTGAAAACTTCTTTGGACTCCCTCTATCAGCTTAGGCTGGGTCACATACTTTTCCTTTGTATTTATGATCTATTTATGGGTCCCCCGTGAGTGTTGGTGAGCTACCTTGAGGTTTTTAGGGAATGGACCCACTGCCTCCAAGAAGAGCAGCTCCCACTTCAGCCTTGTTGGGAAGCCGACAGAAGAGCCCAGCTTGAGTTTCCCATGAGAGTCAGCAGTGTCCCCAAGATGAGGGCTTCTCCCCAGGGTCAGTCCTGACTCAGTAGGCCTAAGTAGGAAGAGTAGTTTGGGGAAGGCAGAATTTTAAAAAGGCCACCAGTAAGGCTGGGAGTCTCTAGAGTCTGTACTGGGGAGACTGGGCAGGAGGAAGAACCCGTTGATCGAGCTTATTCAATTGGGAGAGATGGCCTGAAGGAGG